CTGCCAAATGAATCTCATTATATCTTTTTTCCAATCGTTTAATACTTTTTGATTTCTGATTATAGGTAAATTTTGAAATAAAAATACTAATTTTGGGAGTATTGACATCTTTATAGTTGCTATTCTCCCCAGGAGAGACAGTTTCATGTTTCCCCATTTTTTTAGATCTTTTTTTTTTTATCTTTTTCCATTTTTCTATGTAGTTGTTTTCTAATACTCATATCTTCTTTGAGTATCATCTCATGGCCTTCCAGTCTCCACCCCCAGCTCTTGCCCATTAAAAGGTCATTTTCATCATTATAATTATCAAAATATTTGTTTTAGATCCTAATTATCTAAACATGTAATTTAATCTGTTAGTAAGTTTCTTAAAAGTGTTTTTAGTCAGCCTATCCTATTATAACCATCTTCTTCTGATTCTTTATAAATTCCATGAAGAGTTTCCATTTTTCCTAAAATGTTTGGGTGTTTGCCTGTTGTCAAGCCAAAACAGCACTGGCCGCAAAACAGCTGCTCTCGCAAGGCAACTCCTCTTCCCTCTGACCTTGTCCTCTTTTCTCCTTTGCAGAACATCAGGAAGTTCTGTGAGGACTGTTTTTCATGCTGCCGGAGGAGGAGAAGTAATCGAGTGGCTCCAGCCAGGTATCCCCCTTTCTCCTTCTCATCTATTTGTTTTAATTTAATTAAAACATCCTTGATCAAGGTTCAGTTGCTGACATTTTGCTGTTTTCTCTTCTTTTCTAGTGAACCAGAAGAAACAAAAGTATCCTCCTCCGAGGACTCCTGGGATTTGGAGACTTGGGTAAGGAGGGAAAGGCAGGAGCACGGTCCTTCTGCGAAGAGGAGAAGATCAGAATTTGAACAAAGTCTCCTCTCTCTCGTTTGCAGCGTTTCTGGAGGGTATCAGCCCCGCATCCCGACCCGGACACAAGGAGTGAGGACTCCCTTCAAGAGGAGTCCTTTGAATCCTGGGTAAGGAGCAAAAGGCAGGAGGACTGTCTCTCTGCCAAGGGGAAGGGGAGGAAGTCTCCCAAGTGTCACTTTGCTCTTCTCTTTCTTTCGCAGTGCACCATCACTAAGAAGTCCGAGGAAGACCTGCGCACGGACGCACTTTGGAGCCAGCAGCCTCAGAAAGAGAAGTAACTTCTTCTCCCTTTTTGGGTGGGGGTTGGGTCTTCGCGTGGAGCTGGAGGAGTCTTTGGATTTTAAGTTCTTACATGTTTATTTTTTGTTTCTCTTAGTGCAACA